AGCTTTGAGAATCAGGGAATCATGGAATGGTTTGGGCTGGAAGGGACCTTAAAGCTCACCCAGTGCCACCCCCTGCCATGGGCAGGACACCTCTCACTAGCCCAGGTTGCTCCAAGCCCTGTCCAACCTGGCCTTGGACACTTCCAGGGATGGGGCAGCCACCTGGGCAACCTGTGCCTGGGCCTCACCACCCTCACAGCCAAGAATTTCTTCCCAATATCCCACCTAACCCTGCCCTCTTTAAGTCTGAAGCCACTCCCCTTGTCCTGTCACCCCAGTTCCTGATGGACAGTCCCCTCCAGCTTCCCTGCAGCCCCTTCAGATCCTGGAAGGTGCTCTGAGGTCTCCACACAACCTTCTCTTCTCCAGCCTGAACATTCCCAGCTCTCCCAGCCCATTTCCATAGGGGAGGTGCTCCAGTCCCCTCACTGACTTTGTGGCCTCCTCTGGACTTGCTCCAGCAGTTCCATGTCCTTCTGATGTTGGGGGCAGCCTGGACACAGTGCTCCAGGTGAGGTCTCCTGAGAGCAGAGCAGAGGGGCAGAATCCCCTCCCAGGCTGTGCCTGGGATTGTCCCAGGCCAGGGGCAGGACCCTGCACTTCACTTTGTTGAACTCCATGAGCTTCACATGGTCCCACCTCTCCAGCCTGCCCAGGTCCCTCTGGATCCATCCCTTCCCTCCAGCTTGGTGATCACAGCACACAGCTCAGTGTCTTATCACTACCTGAACTAAAGCTGGGATAACAACAGCTTCCCTTCACAGCACTAAGGGGAACTTTCACAGAAATTAGGGAGGTGGGTTCCATAAAAGACTCATGAAGAGGTCCATGCTGAGAGCAGCTGCTGGCCCCAAGCAGAATGTAAACAAAGCCATTTAATTTCAAACCACCTAGTTTTAAATGAGCTGTTTTCAACCCTTCTTCTTGACCTCTTCCAGGAGGATAAAGCAAACCCAGCACTTCTTGTGCCTGACTGAAATAGGAGCACTCGGGAAGAGATGCACACAAATGCTCTCCAGCCCCAAGGATCAGGAAAGATTATTCCAATTCCAGCTTATCCAGAGGTTCCTGACTATGAACCAGCTGCCCCTCTGCCCCCAAAAGGGGGTTTTCCAAGGAAGAAACACAGCAGGTGTTGCTGGTGCCTTGGGGGTGATGACAAGGGGCAGTTCCTGGCTCTGTGGGTTTTCCAGGATCCATTCTGACTCCAGTTTGTCAGCTCCTATCTGAGGCAGAACTCCGTGTTCCCTCTGCAGGATGTGATGGACCAGCTGATCAGATCTATATCCACCATCTCCTGGGTTTAGGTGCTGGGGAATTTTGGTAGAGGAAGCTGTGGTGTAACCCAACAACCTCCAGCAGAATTGCCAAGAAATCAAAAAACAAGTTCTCTGACCACGGACTGAGGGGCCCTCCCTGAGACCCCTCTGAAGGAGAGGGATTTGGTCACAGCAGAGTGTGCCCACTCACACAGCTTTTCACCCTTGTTCCTCCAAAACATCAGCTCTCAAGCTTGGAAGTGGCAGAGAAGTCCAGGGTGCAGCTCACCTAGGCAGGCTGGGGGCCCCAACTGTGCTTCCAGGCTTTTTCCAATACACAACACCCAGGAAAAATGTAAATCCACACACCTTTCTGTGTGTAAGGCCATGCTCTTGACTCAGAATGTGTGATTAGGGGGCCTTTTAGAAACCAGAGGGAGTAAAAAGCTGTTTCTCCCTCTGTTTAAGTGCCTGATACACCCTCAGCACAGCAGGTCCTGTGGTTGTGCCTCAGAACTTTGGGTGGGGAACTCGAGACCAGCAACGAATCCACGGATTTTCCCTCCTCCTGCTGGAGTTGTGTGTTCCTTCCCAGCACCTTCTGGTTGTACAACTTGCTTAATCTATCCCCTGTACCTGCAGAGGCATTTGGGGCCCAAGAGTGGCAGTTTGGTCCCCTCTGTCCCCTGCTAATGGTATGCAGGGCTCAGCCACAAGAAGGGCATTTCCCTCATTAAAGGACATTTCCCTCATTAAAGGACATTTCTCTAATTAAAGGACATTTCTCTAATTAAAGTCACCAAGATCAGATCAGAGGTACCCGAGTAAAACAGTAAAAAAAATTTTGTCATGACAAAAATGCCCTCAGTGCTCTGAATGCCTGGAAGATGCCACAAACCCCAGATCAAATGTCCCCCATTCCAACAGGGAACATGAAATCCAGCTCTGACACAGCCCTTGGAAGTGAGTTACTCTCCAGCAAAAAACCACATGAGAAACCCAATGGCTGAACTCTGGAGAGGACAGTGCAGAGCAACCACCACCAAGGAAGACTAAATGAAACTCCAGAATCCTGCAAATGGGATAAAGGATATGCTGTTCTTTGACCTTTTTTCTTTTTTAATTCTTCACTTTCCTGAAGTCTCTTCTATTCCCCTCTAGCAAACATATCAGCTGGTTTTACTCATTTAAGAGTAGCTCCTTCATAATGATAAAGGCTTTTTTCTAACCTTGTGTGTATCTGTAGGATGAATTTAAAAAGTATTTATCAGTGAACTGAATTATGTGGCTTTGGCAGCTGCCTGGGAGAGATTTGGGGCTTCAGAGCACTGTCTAGAGAGATAAGCTTTAGGGAACACACAAGCAATGAGCTAAGTGTTTTAATGACCATTCTGCACCAAAATACTGAAGGTCTAACAGCCTTCTTGGCCTTTACTTCTAAATGTTAACTACCAGCAGTTGGCTCAGCATCTTCCTCCCCTGGCCAGAGGAGTCTGCACTCAAGGTAATTAACATTTCTCCATCAACAGCCTGTGAGAGCTTTCACTGTGTGTCATTCCCAGCATCACAGAGAGCAGCTTCCACTTGTGAAAAACGAGAGGATTTTTGACAGGGTGATGCCAGAAATCCCTGCCCACTCTGGGGGAAAGCCCAGCACGTACCTTGGCGGAGCAGCAGGTCGTCCCTCAGCAGGCAGATGTAATAAACACAGCCAGGCTGGGCATAGTGGGGCCGAGGGATCATGGGGACCTCCTGCAGGGAAACACAAAACAGGGAGGGAATCCTGAGCTGCCCAACATCATCAGTCCCAAAATGGGGCTGAAACCCTTTTGGAATCATGCAGAGAAGAACTGACCCCTCCCGGGACCGAACCCAAACCAAGGCAGGTGCAGGAAGGGAGAAACTTAAGAAGTGAGAAAAATTAAGAGAAACGTAAGAAAGTGAGACCCCAGCATTTACCAACCCCAATAAATACAAATGCAGGAGCTGCTTCAGTTTATAACTGTGTTAAGGAAGGAGAGTTTACCCTGCTCACAGCCCGAGGTTCACACTGCTCACACAGGTAGTGCTCCACGTCCGAGTTCACACCCATGCAGTCACAGTGCTGCCAGACCTGGGGAAACAGGCACAGCCCAGTCAGAGTCCTGGGACAGGCTGTGTGTGCAAGCTGCCTTTTCTCAAAAAACGTTAAGGAGAGCAAGACAATAAGCTTCAGAAAGGAAAGTCGAGATTTTCTTTGAACTATTTCACAGCACATCAGAAGACAGACAGGATCCCCAGGCAACTGTGTGTGTAAAAGCCCAAAACTGTTGGATTTAATTCCTCTCTCCCAAGGGCAGGAGCTGTGCCAGTTCCAGCTCCTCTACACAGAAATGCAAGTTGCATTTCCTTTGAACACACAACTTCTTCTCTTTTGGAGAGGAAATGAAGGGCTGCAGAGGTAATTCATGTTACTGACTGCATGGAAACTGCTGGTCACAGAGAAGAGAAAAAGAGAGATTCCATTTTGGGCTCCCCTGCCTCACCATGCACTTTTCACACTGGATCATGAGCCCCTCGTCCTTGTAAAGGCCACAGATGCAGTGGAAGCCTAAAACTGTGGAAATTCATTTCTCCCTCCCAAGGGCAGGAGCTGTGGCAGTTCCAGCTCCTCTACACAGAAATGC